CAGCTATATACCACATGGGACACAAAGCCTACCTCGAGCAGCAACACGCCGCTCTGGAGAGAATAAAACAGCATCAGGAGGCTGCCGCGAGGCAGCAACAACAGCAGCAGCAGCAGCAACAACAACAACAACAGCAGCAACAGCTCCAACGGCAAACCCCTCCGCCACCCCCTCCGAGTCAAATACAACAACAGAGTCAAAGCAATACCGGGCCGTCCACGCCGCAAACGCCGCAAATGCAATCGGCGAGTGCGCATCTTCAGCACAAGGACTTCCAAGAGAGGTTAAGTGTTTTCAGAGGTGCCGCCGCCGCGGTCGGCTCGTCGGTTCCACATATCACTGGTGCGGACCTGGAAGGCCTGGCGGACATCCTCAAAACAGAGATCACGTCGTCGTTAACGAACCTGATCGACAGTATAGTGACGAGATTCTCGCAACAGAAAAGGTTTCTTGGAAAGCAGAGCGAGGCGGCGCAAATGGCCGCCGAACAATTGAACAAGGACCTGCTGTTGGCGAGCCAGGTACTCGAAAGAAAATCACCTAGGACGAAAGTAGTCGATAGAGGAGCGCCACAACCACCCGGTGGCCCAAACGGGCCACGGGGGCCCCACAATGGAGGGCCCCCTCCTACGCACTCTACGGGTTTCCCTCAAATCGGACTCATGAGTGGTGGGCCCCATGGTCCTCATTCTGGCCCCACGGAAAACAATCTTAATCAAATGAACCAATTGCCGCCGCATGCCAGGCCGAGTAGCGGATTATTTCAAACGCCGAAACCACCGACGATATACGCCATGACCTCCATGCAAGCGCAGCAACAGCAACAACAACAGCAGCACCAACAGCAACGCGAACACCAGCAGAGAGAACAGCAACAACGCGAACAGTACTGCAACGTGCGGAATGACGAGAGAGAGAACAGGGATTCGGAACAGAACGAGGCTCTTTCGCTTGTCATGACACCGAAGAAGAAACGCCATAAGGTAATTATTTCTTTCGTATACAATTATTTTTAATATACATAAGTGCCAAAGAATATTCTAAAAACTAGAATCACGAACAAAATGAATGAGTTTACATCGTAACATTAGTCCTTCAAAAATTTCCGAGTACAAATTAGTCTAAAAATCGTAAAAAGCTCACACACGTGACGCTCGATTTGGGAACTATATCAATTTTGTGCATTGTTTGTAATATAAATATAATACAAATATTTACGTTGCCTGCTTCCTCGAACGTTGTCTCGCGTTACACATAATCATTAAAATATCTTTAAATACGTATTGCTTCAAATACTAATTGTAAACCTCATTCATTTTATACATTTGATTTTCAGTGTAAAATGTTGACACTGACAAAAAATTTCTAAAAAATCTATAAAAGCGAAATACACTCTCCTTGAAAATACTTACGTATATTTTAAGTATTTGAACATCTTAAATTAAATATATACATATATATAAGAATATATAATAAGGACCTCAATTTCACATTGTAAATCAAGGTATCAATTAGTATTTTCCTTCACAGGTGACGGATACGAGGATCACACCGAGGACAGTATCCAGGATCTTGGCGCAGGAGGGTAGCTGTTCTCAAGGAGGCAGCGAGAGTCCGCCGCCCCCACCCCCACCGAGACCTTACCACGCTCCGCCACCGATGCTGCCAGTGTCTCTGCCAACCAGCGTAGCGATACCAAACCCAAGCCTCCACGAGAGTCAAGTGTTCTCGCCGTACTCGCCGTTCTTCAACCCCCACACGAGTCATGCGGGCCAGGTACCACCCCGGGCATCGCATCATCTACCTGCAAGTCCTCCAGATGGAAGTGTAGAACTCAGGGATTCACCGCCATTGCCACATCCGCCGGCTATACTGCATCCTGCCTTATTGGCGGCTGCCCAGCACGGCAATCCAGACTATGGACATCTGAGGATGGACAGCAATGAGCGGGGCAGCGAATGCAACAATGGCGACATCAGCTACGACGGAGTGCAGCCTACAATATCCTTTTCTAATGCTACATTCAGAGGAAAAAAGTCCGCCAGTTGAAACTTGGAGAACGTCCAGAACGGAGCTTGTTCCTCAAGCAGAGCACACGGGTTCCGTGTAATAGTTACCGAATTGTCCAAGTTACGGTTCCGAGTCGACCGAGAACTGGTCAGGAGCCGGTGATCGGTGTTCTCTATCTGTTAAGTAATTTTATGAGAGGACAAACAGAGTCTGAACGTTCTCCAAGGAAAAGTATCGTTGAAGTTTCGATATTAAGCTGCGAAGAGTACAGGACCAGACGGTCTAGATGAGCCGGGGATAAAGCGACGAGCAAAATCGAGCGTTAAAAACGGTAGAAAAGCGAAAGAGTTGATGACGATACTTAGGAATGTATTCTCCTGTAGAAGGGAACGCGAAGCTTGATAACTTTCGAAAACAACGTCGAGTTCTCCGGGAGAAAAAGCCGGCTCGCCAACAAGCAGAAGGAAGTCGGGAGAATACCAGGAGGCGGGAGGAAGCTCGGACGAATGTTAGATTAGTTTGCCACGGAGTTAGGCTAATGTTGGCTGCACCTACGAGTAGAGTTTGTCCGGCAACAACGCGCGAGGTCGAAAGTTCTTTGCCTACTCGGCCCACCCTCGACCTCGAGTCTCACCCAACTTCGCAAGCCAATAATCTGTCCCGCAATTTCGGAATTTAACCGCGAAAAGGAGAGAGGAGGTGGTCTCTGAACTTCCTATCACGGCCGTATACTCGACTTATCGCAGATAAGTCACTTCTATTACTTCTACGGATGCACGGAGAATCCACGAGACTCCCTTTCTACAGGGTCAATTTCCCGCCAACTTGATTCCTTCTACTTGTCGGTCCACGTCTCCATATACATCGCTCTTCCGTTGCACTTCTCTCGTTGCGACGCTCTATCCTTCGAAATTGTTTCTTTCAGACGAAATCAAAATTCTCAACAATCAGTATTAATTAAAATTGTCAGACATTAATTGGATAAAATTGAACATGACCATTCAACTTTGATTACATGCTTTCGTATACTCACAAATAAAAAAGGAAACGAATTGTGAACAAGTATTGAAACCAAATTTCATTTTTAAATTTCGGAAGCTTCCGTAGATTTTTGTACGTTATAAATGCTCGAAGTTCCGCGTCTAGTAGCGACCGGAAACCGAGAAAGGTTAGATGTCCCCGCGCTGTCTGTGCAATGGACGGGTGCGAGAAGTTCAGCAGCTCGATTATCACGCATGACCCGGCCGTGGGCAGTTCGCAGCAGCGGCCTTCTCACTTACCGAAAGCGCTAGCAAATATCGGGCTTACAACCTGGAAAAAAAGACGTATGTCGCGGCAAGGGAGGAGCAGAGGGACGTTTAGCGGACGTGTAAACGCGTCGGAAACGGTGCAGCGTCGGTACTGCAACGGTGTGTGTCGGTTCGGGTCGCTCGATCGGCCGCGCGGCGTTCTTTACCACCTTTTTAGCCGGCCTTTGATGTAAAATCAATGGCGCATTTTTTCACTCCCTCCTCTTGAGGTAGGTCGAGCGCATGGCCGCGGCACAACCTGCTGTTCACCATTCTCCTCTGGATTCACCCTTGTCTCCCAATGTTCGCGCGTTCTGGGCCTTCGACGTATTCGAATATGCTTTTCACGCTGTCCGAGTTTCCTTCCCGGTTTTGCGGATGTAAGCGCGGTAAACTCACGTCGATGTGGTAGTTGCGATACTTGCCGTAAATATAGAACGGTGTCGTACCAAAAAAATTACGGTGTCCACTTTGGTACGAATATCGAGCTGGTCTTTCGCGATAGAATATTATTTGGGAATATACTTTGACGGTCGATGTCTGGTGAGGTTTCTTAGCTGTGTTGTCAGCCGGTGTCACGTGATTGTGAATTAAAATAGTCGATTTTAATACGAAAAGACGAAAGATACTTCTTGACGCGTGGACTGTGGACTGAAATTTTGGTCATAATTATTAAAATTTGGCGAATGAAAAATTGAATAAACATTTGTTTGGTAAATAACTAGGTAACAATATGAAACTAAACGACACTGATGAATAATTAACAGTAACTATTATGAGTAATATTTATTTCGTTGTCACAAAATAAAAGCGTTCAAGTCACGAGTAAAAGCGTCGATTAACTATCAATTTTATAATATAAAGTTCGTAGGTAGAAATATTAAAATATTTACATGGTTTCAAATTACACCAGCTGTCCGTTTAATAATTTCAAATCGTTTGATTTACTTTATCAATGGATAATTCAACAACTTTTCTATCCTTCCGTAATTGTAGACATCAAACGAATGAACTAAATAGTTAAAACTGTGGATTTCGAGGGATTTTACTTGTTGCGAGCGCACACGAATCTCCGTGTTTCCAGCAAATATTTTTATTTGCAAAGCAATTTTCGAGGCTCCGGTGGCATGTAATTATCACGGTATCGTGTTTACAAATCGTTGCCTCGTTTTTGACATCCGATGTACACCTCTTGCTCATAAAACGCGGTAGGCTGACGTTACGAGCCCTGCATTATGAGTGCAGGAGGAAGGACCAGCTCGACAACCGCGCGTCAGAATAATCCTTATTACCGCCCGGTATCTCGTTATCATCCATCGACGTTACCGCGGACGCAAAATGCGACGCGGGGGTGCGCGCACGTTTGATGGGAACGGCTACACTTGTCGACTCGTTCGCTTGTGAACGACAACTTCGCTTGTGCGCTGAGAGAGTTCGCGCGCCGACAGTAACACCAATAACGATAGGCGTTCGTGAAAAATTGTAAACGCCCCGCGTTTTCCCCGTCTCTGCTGGAATTAGATGGCTTTACGCGGATCGAGTGTCTAGGAGAACGTTGCACGTTGGATTTTCCGCGATCATTCGTTGATCTCGTTGTTACGAGTAAATCAGAGGGGAACAGTTTGAATGACCCGCTGTACTAGTCCCACGGGATCGTAACAATGTTCAAAAATTGCTCTGTTGCACAATGACGGTAATACAATTTTTTTTCAATCTCTTCTTTGGTCGAAAGTATTGTCCTAATAGTTTATCGCTTTACAATTCTGTGTCGCGACTTAAAAATGAATCTCGATAGTGATACATCGAATGAATTCCATTTTATTAGGATCTCCGGCACGCAGGATATTTAAAAACTTTTCTGTTTTATTGAAAAAGCCATTTCGATTTGATGGGATTGTTACGAGTGTCGGTTCAGCAGGGTTAAATAAAGGGGTCGCGGTTATGTTCATTCGTTCTTCGAGTTGAATTCTTGGAGAAGAGAAGGGTTACTTGAAAGCCAATCGAAGGTACAGACGATCCGCGAGAGATTGAACACACGGATTAGCCAAATAAGAATGCGATGAAACCACATGAAGAGATCCCATTACCGATAAGGAGTCGGTAAGGCTTCCGCTGAGGATACGGCCAATCGTGGGTCAACCTCGGCGAGAACGTTAGACCCCCTATTACCCTCGCGACATCCACAGCTTGTACGATTTCTAATCCAATTTGATACGAAGAAAACACGATTAAGTTTGAGATATTTACGTACACAGAAACCGATTGTCGCATTGAACCGACCCTCTTACGACTGTCTCTGGTTCCGTTTAGGTTATTCTGGTCCATGCTCTTCTCGTAACGGAATAATATATGATAAAACGCGTTGAAGCGTCCGTTCGATAGAAATGCTTAAGATTTAAATGTCAGTTAACGATTACACAGCAAAAGAGTATTTCCTTAACCACGGTGAACTCGTCAACGCTGACGCCGATGCATTTGAGGAAGGCGAAGCTAATGTTCTTCTGGGTCAGGTACCCGTCTTCGTCCATCCTCAAGATGTACTTCCCCGATATCAAGTTCAATAAGAACAACACAGCCCAGCTGGTTAAATGGTTCAGCAATTTCCGGTGAGTACTAT